AAAAGATTTTTATCACTGGGCATGGTGGTGCATCCCTGTAATCACAGCATTTCGGAAGGTGAGGCAGGAATATCGCCTCAAGTTCGAGGCCAGCATGGGCTATCTAGTGAGAACCTGGCTCAAAAAAACAGAACAAAACAACAACAGAAACAATAAAGATTTCTATTTTTTCTTCAATGGTGTTTAATGTTCTTGCCTATATATTACCAGGGAAGAGTTTAAACTGCTATTTAACCTTCTGAGTACTATTTCAACTATTTTGTATATTAAAATAGAAAAATACAGTATACCATGCTTCAGGTCCGGTGAACAATTTATAACTCTTTATAACTATCTCTAAAGACTAAACATTTTAAAGGTTCTAATAATAATTGAAAACTTGAATACAAACATATTTCACCTATGAAATCTGTGTATGCAAGTCAAGACTGAGTTATGGACCTACAGTAATTTTTCTAAACTGCTGTTCACCTCTCCATTTTTATAAAAGAATGGGTTCTGAAGTTACAATGTTCAAATCCTAGCTCTAGCATTTCAGGTCTTATGTGACTTTTGCCAGGTCATGTAAACGATCTGTGCCTCAGTCTCTTCATCTATAAAATGTAACTATCAAAAGTGTCAGTCCCAGTTGGGTTTTTTGAGAGATACAATGTGTTAATATATGTAAAATGCTTAGAATAATACCTGCCATATAGAGGCATATCTGCCATATGGAGGCATATCACTTTACTATAAATTTTATTTTCTTCACTGGAAAGAACTGGCTCAACACTATTTGTCGATAGGTAGGAGTATTAAAACTGAAGACTTTGATTTTGTTCTGAATTGCTTTGCTTGGCTCAGACCTGACCACTATATTAGGAATAATTTTCTCTTTATTTCCTCAGGTTTATATCCCTTCTATGTAAAAATAATATTTTCTTTTTATTATTTTCAATATCTATTTTTTATTTCATTTAATATTGATCTATATTGTGTCTCTTCTGATTTATCACAAATATGAGAAATAATTCTAAGGTATTATTATTATTGCCATTGCTATATCACTTATACAAATTAATCAGAAATAAAAGAAAAATAAATTTAATTGAATAGGATATTATATTCTCTTCCCCATGACTTCTATTTTCAGGTTCAGATATGTTCATGGCAGAATATATGATCTGACAATAATCTGCTTATATAATGAAATACATAATTATTTGAGTAGGTTAATTTTTATTTAACTTCTTAAAGTTTTTATTTAAAATTGTTTTAACTAAAAATTTTACTTAACTTTTTGTTTTTTCATTGAATGACAACTATAACCCATATTTCTTTTGAAACTAATTTTTACTAGTATTTTCTACCATTATCAAATATGAGATTATTGACATCTAAAATAATTCTTTTAACATGAATTATAACTAATATATTAATTTGATAATTAATTGAAATAAGATATTGAAGGGCAGAAGATTCTGTGTGGGAAGATAGGTGATACTCCATCCCAAGTATTACTGCAAACAATAAGTTGTTTAATTGTGACTGTGTTGCCAGTTGTTACACCTTGCTCGTCTGTTTTATATTCATTTTCCACTACAGCACGTATGAATAGAAAAGCCCTACAGTATACTTTCCTCACAGATTACAATGCCTTTAAGTCAGCGCTCTTATTTTCTCCCAAAACAGTTGGCCCAGGAATATTATACCTGAGACACAAAGAGTGAGTGTGGTACCAGGCAAATTCATTATAAAATATAGGTTACATCTATTAGGTTAAATATAGATTAAAGACTTTATCATAGTTTTTATCAATAATTGTTTTACTCAGCTGATTTTTATCCTGATGTCCTGATAATACACGTATAATAATTTAAGACCCATCACCGTCAGGGTTTCAGTTTCCCTAACTATACATTCCTTTTCATTTGCTCTCCAGTTCTCAACATTGGGTTCTAGTATTATTTAGCATTATTTCTCAATTACATGTGGGCTCACACTGTGATTGACTTAACACAAAACAAGATACCTTTTTATTGAATTGTATTATTATTTGCACACAAGTGTAGGAAAACAGAAACTACTTTGAAAAATAGTTTCTTCTGAACTATGTGGAACAAAGTATCTTAAACTTTTACATCATCTTGAAGTTCACACATTCTTGAAATAGACATAACTATTACAGACGGATCCTATCATGAATAGAATTTTACAAGAGCTCTCTTGGTCAGATTATGCCAGTGAGAAATGAAGTTCTTCAAAGCTTTTCTGATAGGTTGTGGGAGACTCAAGATTTTTCTAGCTGATGCTCTGTACTCTACTCTGTGCTCACAGATATTCTAGTGCACTGTAATGCACTAAAGTTATGTACCAAAGAATTAAAAGCAACAACGTTTCTTTTAAATATTCTGTATACTTTTATAGTACACATTCACTTGGAAACTTCCAAATAGGCTCTTTGAAAATACTAAACTAATTCTGCAAGCACGACGCAGGGTGGCGCTGCAGGCTAAGATTGTGAATAAGTCCTTTAAAGGCGACTGTATCCTTTTGTGACTCAAAAGCGAATCCCAAACACAGACAAAAAGCTTTGCACGCAGTGCAGAGGTATCATCGGCTTTGGACCACAAAATACTAAACGGTTTTAGAATGAAAGCTATTTTGTGACAAAAATCTCCGAAGAAGAAAACAGAAATCGGTATCTCCACTCTTTTGGTGAGGGCTGAAGGATTCAATACAAGCATCCGGACTCCAACATGAAGAAGCTACAAAGAATTCAACCAAACAGGCAAGTAATGGCCTTGATTTTCATGGTGTTCTTGTCTCAGGCTCACTCAGTGCCTATTCGTTACTCTATACAAGAGGAAACTGAGGGTGGCTCCTTCGTAGCCCATCTGACTAAAGACTTGGGCTTGGAAACTAGGGAACTGGCTGCCCGTTCACCACGGGTGGTTTCTGACGATTACAAGCAGCATTTGTTGCTCGATCCTCAGACTGGAGATTTGTTTCTGAGGGAGACGCTAGACCGAGAGGAGCTATGTGGTCCTACTGATCCGTGTGTGCTGCATTTTCAAGTGTTCCTTGAAATGCCAGTGCAGTTTTTTCAAGGAGAATTACGGATTCAGGACATTAATGACCATTCTCCAATGTTCCCTGCTGGGGAAGTGCTCTTGAAAATACTTGAAAACAGCCAGCCAGGGACTATATTCCCCCTGAAATTAGCTGAAGATTTGGATGTGGGCAGCAATGGGCTTCAAAAGTATACCATCAGCCCTAATTCTCACTTTCACGTTCTCACTCGAAATCATAGTGAGGGCAAGAAATTCCCAGATTTGGTGCAGGACAAGCCTCTGGATCGGGAGGGGCAGGCTGAGTACAGCTTAACCCTCACGGCTCTGGATGGGGGGTCTCCACCTAGGTCTGGCACTGTCAGGGTTCAAATCCTGATCATGGATGTCAATGACAATGCTCCTGAGTTTGTGCATATCCCATATAAGGTGCAGGTCCTGGAAAACTGCTCCTTAAATTCCCCAATCTTTAGTGTCTTAGCTAGAGATATGGATGCTGGAAATTTTGGAAGTGTTTCCTATGGCTTGTTCCAACCATCACATGAAATTGAACGAACTTTCTCCATAAATGAAGTCACAGGAGAAATCCGACTGCAAAAGAAACTGGATTTTGAAAAAATTAAGTCTTACCATGTGGAAATTGAGGCCACAG